TTGGTTAAGTGACATTGCGCAGGTATTTTATATCATATAAAAGCTGCGCAACAATACTTATACTAAACTGACAATTGTCGACACGTGCATGTGAACAGAATACAGGCCCCGAGTCAAGTAATGATCGGAGGTGACCATTGATTATAATAGCTCAAGAATCGGTTTCCTGTCTATCTTGCAAATCTCCAGTAAGCCTTGCAATAAAAGACATTTACTTACATTCTCTACACTAGTTGTTTGCTTTTTTATATTAGATAACATTCTTTGTTGCATTAAAGTTCCAGCTTTCGTCATTTTGGATCGTTTGTTAATCTGTAAAGGTCGAAAGTATATATACAAAAGTAATATATATAACTAATGATTTATATTTAATATAATAACATTGAAATGTAATCATTATATTTACTTTTGATTCAGTCTTTCGTTTTTTAATACATTGGTTGTATTCGTCGTCCGACTCATAGTCATTAAATGTTTTTTTCATTAACTTCTTCCTGTCATCCTTACATGGATTTTTAATATCAAATTTTTCTATTTCTGATAACTGTCGATGCATATCTGTCCATTCTAGAAAAACAAACAATGTTCATCAAGTATCAATGTTATTATTGCAATTACATGATCAAAGGTTACATGGTAAATTTATTAGTGTTTATATAATAAGTATTAATAAGGTCTCGGATGTTCGAACGTGCTCATTCGCACTCACCCGCCGGGCGATGACTTATTCACTTTTAGCGTTTTCGACTGTTGAATCGTTCTTCGAGTGATTAATAACGATATCACTTCAGCAGATCAACCATGAATTGTATTACTCGATTGCGATAATAACATTATTAATCGCTTTAACATCGCTTTACACGCATAATGTGATATACTCGATCCGCCAGCTCGAACATATCGGAACCTTATTGGTTATAATAAGATTTTTTATAGGTTAAGTTTCATTTTATTTTCGATATTTACATTTGATCATATAAATGATGTACGTATTGCACATACATATATATCATACTATATACATATATACATATTAATGTATATGTCGCCTATAACATATATGTATTGCATATATATACATTTACATA